ACCCCCCAAAAATAAAAAAAATGAAAAGGGCTGGGGACCCCTTAAAGTACATCTAAGTACTTAAGTCCATATTTTTTCAATATAGCGTTGTATAAATAAACATAGTTTCAATTAATGTAAATAGATAAATAAAATTCCAATATAGTACATTTAAAATGTTCATTTAATTATCTAATGGTACCTTTAATAATTTAATTGGTCATTTTAGAACGTTGTAGTGTAAGTGTTAACAAAAACATCATAATTTATATTTGAATCATGCATGAGATAAAGAAATAATATTTGTACCTCCTGATTTGATATACGTTGGTCATTTCTCAGGGGTCTTATCACAATGATTGTGAAAACAACCCCTATCTGGTGTCTTGTGATTGTTTGTGGGGTCCCCACTGTAGTGACTATTTGTACAAAACTAAAATAAAAAAAAATAATAAAAATAAAAAAAAAACTTAAGACTTGATCAAAACAAAAGGTGAATTCACCTCAAATAGTCACCTGATGCACTGTGGATTCTAACAAAAAAAAAAAAGACCAAAATCCAGTTCTTTGCTTGCTTTATTCTCTGTACAGACAAACAAATTATTGGCTTTACAGGATTCTTCTCTCACTCTGATTCCTGCTCCTGTTCTTTGATTGACTGACTGATTGAGACTGTGACTGAAATCTGGAAACTGAGAACTGGATTTTGACCCTTTTTGATCGTCCTGGACTGCGTAAGCCAGAATCCACGGTGAATCAGGTGGCCATTTGAGGTGAATTCACCTTTTACTTTCAAAGTCTTAAGTTTTTTCAGTTTTTACATTTTTATTTTATACAAATAGTCAGTACATCAAGTAAAAAAAGATATGACCACCCATGTGCATAATGAGCAAGACCTATACCTATTTATACTGTGAAACACCCACATCCCAAGCTAAAATCAATTAACTAATTTACTGAATCACTAAAGAAATCCTATTCTAAATAACAAATCACACTAAATAATCCAAATTCTATGATTTAAGTAAAAGTGGAAAGATCAGCAGAAAGAATACACTATAATTCATAACATTGGACTATTAATAGAATACGGTAAGAAAATACATCAATATATTCATAAAGGATAAAACCTCAACATATATATAATAAAATGTTTATATATTAACTCTGCTAGTATTGGATGTTCAGACATGTTGTAGTAAAGTGTTTGGTTACAGAGCTTTGGTAAATAAATTTAGACCATGTGAAAACACATTTAAGATACATTGATTGATAAGTTTATAATGTAGCCTAAGTGTGAAATGATTCAGAACAGTTTTTAAATAAAATAATCAGTTTCTCAGACATATATAACATACCATAAGAAAAAACACCATTCGCTATATTTATAATTTACTTTTTTTTTTAAAGATTATCGTTAAATAAAAATGAGTTTTAGACAAAATCCCTTCAGCAGCAGCATTTGGCTTTAACGCCTGGTAAGCAGCGCCCCCTATTGTCCAGAAGGTCATAGTACGAGCAAGGTGACGCAAGTACGTGGTGATGTCACTGAATGCGGTGTTCAGGTGCTCTTTGGGCATCATGGAGAGATTTACATTATTTTGTTAAGGTTTTATTTAGTGTACTTGCACCAATAAATATGACAATAATAACATTTTATCTTAATATCTTAAAAAAAAAAAATCATATTTTAAATAATAACAATAATACTAATATGATAGACAAATAGATAGAAATTAAAGAATTTAATTGCCCCACTTAAGCTAAATAGTATGAAATACATGTAGGCCTAATTAAATGCTTATTATTCCTATACACAGCATATTAACTACTTCCTTTAAGGATTTATTAAATATCAAACAGGCTAAGACTAAAGCTGAAATAAACCACACTTTTCTTTTTTTTTTTTTTATAAAAGTGGAAAATATAACATAAAGCATAATCGTTTGCCAATCCTGGACCATCATCTTTGGTCCTTTTGTAAGTAATAATATTTTAGTCATAAATACCCTTTACATTAATTACATATGTCTGTTTTATTTTGAATAAAACTGCATCACTTTTTATATAAGGTCGTTTATATTGTTCTAAATATTACACATATTGTCCAGAAACATCAAGGAGTTAATAAATCAATGTTACATTTGTGATCAATAGTTATTGTTTGTTGTAATACTGCACCTTAAAAAAACCAAAATGTGTATAAATTCTTCACAATAAATATGAAAGAAAAAGACATACTTTTTGCACTTTAAACTTACTGTCTTACTGGCACCAGTTGATGTGTTTCTAATTTTTTTTTTTTTTTTACATGTAGAAATGGGCTGTTCTATGAAACAGTTTCTGAATGTTCCATAAATTAGGTTATTTTATTGTATTTTATTATATTTCATTATTTTAAAAAAAGAAATGTTAGAACTGGAAATATACAGCCATATGTTTATAATACTGTTTTTATGTATTTTTTTTTTTTTTTTTACATGTAAAAA